GCTATTTAGATATGAAAGCCGCCTGATTGTTTGCCTATAGTCCTTATAGAGTTTCTGATTTTAAAAACAGTTTGCAGTCATTTATTCATTCTCAGTATGATTACGGATTTCGAGTGAAACTTCAAGAAATGGAACCCGCCAATGAGTTTTTTTTTCAGGTTCTGCGACTCGGTCGTGAAGGCGTTCTGGAACAACTTAATGGCTTTCAACAGTAGCAAGAACCTTCTCATGATGTGAAAGAAAGATATTTGGACACTGTTCGTCTTAAATTGGGGGAAGAGGGAGGGCAATTTGCATTGTCGCTAGTTCCGTTTCTTTATTCATATCAACCAACAGCTCACACTTTCATAAGACCTGTGAACTCCTGTAAAGCTGCGAAATGTACAAATGAGCAAGAGTACAGGAGGACTATGGTTGCAGGAGTTCCCAGACCTGCACAAGATGGTTTGTTGGAGCTGTACTGACAAAGAGTACCATCGTGTCCCCATCAAGGCGAACTGCGCTCGGATTTCTATCCAATCCTGCCATTGTTCGGTGGCCACCCGTTTGTTGCATAGTTACCTCAATCTTTGCTATTGCGTAAGTAACGGTAAAAGGCGAAGGTTCTTTCATCGCTAACAGGGTAGCGCCTGAAAGAACCTTCCCCTTACACCGTTACACCCGCCTCTACTAAACCTTCGGGGAGTAACCCTGCCCGTGTAGGCTCCGCTCACACCGTCAGTGCAATTTCCCCCTCAGATTTGGCAGCTATCAACTTCATTGATAACTTGGTCAAGTGACACTGTTAACTGACGAGAAATAATGGAAAATACGATTCAACGATTTACATCCAACGTCCCGACGATCCGAGCATAATCTCAGTTTGGGCGGGCACAATTTCAACGGGTCAAAATGCTTCGCACAAAACCTAACTAACCGCGAACTCCATCAGGACGAAATTTGATGGGAAAATGCAGTGGAGAATTGTCACGAGAGGCCAAAAGCAAAACATAAACTGGCATTTCGTGGTCCCCACGAGCTTCGTTTACACTTCACAAGAGTGCAGGTCTCATTCGGATGGGTCTTTTATTTTACCAGGAACTAGCATAGGAAACTAGGGAGAAGGCAAAATGGTTTTCGTTCTTCCTACCTCCCCCCCTCTCACCAAAGTAACAGCGTCCGATTTTAAGTGTGTTATTAACAGAAATTAATATCTGTGACATTTACTGAGCTTCGATTGTTGAATATGGGAACCTTTTCTGTTGTGGACCTCTATTATATAACTTCTTTGTGCTTTGATTGCTTTACCAGCTTGGCTGACGCGCACTACTGCGCGCATGTTTGAATCTATCTATGGTAATGGTACTGATCGCTGACAGGATTTCTGTACTGACCCCAAACACTTGGCCCAGTTGTCATTTTTTGAGATACGACCCATTTCATTATATTTCTCCTGTTTAATGAACATTTTCTAATGTCTGGTGCTTATCACATTTTAAAAAAACATTTCACCATTCGTTGGAAATAATACAGCTTAGCGGTTGAAAGAGTTTCGATGGTAATAACATGGACATCATAGTGAAATATCCTCACATCGCAGTACTTTCGTTAAGCAGCTTCCAGGGCTTTTGATTTTTGTCGAAACTCGAGAGTTCAGCGGTCGAATCAGTCCCAACCATATCGCTAAGAGATGAAATAACTTGACTCACAACACCCCTGCCCATTGTTTCTTGATCACCGCGGCTCAAGTTCAGGCTGAACAGCAAGGATGCGAACAGGTACTGATGCTTATAAGCTCCCTTGCACACTATATACAGCTTATATCCCTCCACCAATGCTCTGTAACCTCTTCTGAAGGACTTGCTTGGAAGCAGTTCCCCGGTGTTGTTATAACTCGTGCCATAAATTTCGGGGGCATCCTCTACCGTCCTGCCACCCACCAATGATGGTCCCATCCTGACCCCTATCTACTTCTTAGAACCAACGTCCCATCGTTGCTGTGGCCCGCGCTATGAAGTTGGTAGCCTTTTCCCTTCTAACCCCCCTCCCCTTGTGGTATCTTATCAACCGTTATCACGTCCTACCACCCACCAATAATTTTCCCATCCTTCACCCTATCTTACCTCTTGGAACCAACGTCCCATCGTTGCTATGGCCCGCGCTATGGAGTTGGTGACCTTTTCCTTCTGAGGCCCCTTGTGGTATCTTATCAACTGTTATCACGTCCTACCACCCACCAACAATGTTCCCATCCTGCCCCTTACATCACTTATCAGTTTGAGAGCTCCATCCCTCTTTTGAAGCATTTCCGTCAGTAAACACACATACAGACACAACATTCACAACCACACCCTAGCACACTCGCAAACCACACAACACACACCAAACAGCTACACTCTAGCCGATTTGCACACTCTATACATGACCCGGACATGGGAGATATGTGGCTGCGTACTTCATTTGAACGTAGCGTATGACACGTTTTGGGTGGGGTATATTCATTTACTAGAATTCTTTGGCAGGTCCTCCATTATTATGAAGGCCGGGCTGATAAGAGGGTTGATGGCATAGGTCCCTCATCACTCGCTTTTGCGCTGCGAAAGTGGTGCAACTGCTGCCACCATGTTCTCTAACCGGAGGGATCGTAGAGGCTGCACCCCGTGGCTGCACACTGAGAACAAAGCTTCTTCGAGTGGAACTGACAGAGTGAAATTCGGCAAAATGCCACTGATTATCAAGAATGTGGAAAGGAACTTCATTCCGAGAAGGTCTCATTCTTAAGCAGTGTAACCTCGAGAGAGGTCTCATCTTAGCGCTAACCATGGCTACGACCAACAAAGTGAGTTGCGTTCAAAAGCTGCTTCTCTTCACCATTGTTTTACAGTTTGTCTAATAAGGATTACAACTGCTTGACTCCGCAGTTCGCCCTTGGAAGATTGGAAGATATCAAAACTGTGGCTTATAAGCAGAACTCTTAACTCCAACGGAGGACTCAAGCCGTACCTAGCGCTAGCTATGCCACCTGCGCTATCCGTTACGCTGAAGGGCTCTTTTTCCTCTCAGCTCAATGGGTTTCGTGCCATGGTACTCGAACGGTAAACGTGAGGTGTGGGTTCACCCTTCGCATAAGGTCAAGACCTTTGCCCACAACTCAACCTTCTTGTAATAACTCTCGTGTTGAAGGAGACGTTATCTCCCAACTCTTCCCTAACAAACCTGCACCTGCGCCGATCCTCATTCTAATGTAAGGCAGTACTGGACCAAAAAATCGGAGAACCCGTGAAAAGTACTGTCAAAATGAAGAGTCAGCGAAATGGATAAGATTCTGGGTAAAATTCCCCCATTTTGTGGCGTGATGTCCTGGTCGAAAGTGCATCCAGAAGATCTTGTTGATTCTTCTGTCGAGCATCCTGGTCGAAAGTGCATCCAGAAGATCTTGTTGATTCTTCTATCGAGCACCGGAAGAGGTTGATTGCACGTGTGGTCGACTATAACTGACAACTGCGTGTAGTCGAAGGGTTTTCGACCCGGCAGCTACAGCTACCACTGGCCCTATGCCACCTCCATGCGTGCCACCTCCAAACGAAACCCTACCGCTCTCGCCAGCTCGTTGTTCCCCTTTATCACACTGTTGACTTCCAAGTGCCATGCGACCAGCTCTAATGGTAAGAGTGACTACGACCCTACCGAATGGATGTTTAAAAAAGCAAGGAAAGGTGTAGTCACAACCATATGCCGCCATTCAATGATACCACTAAACCGATTGATTTTCAGTTGTGTTAGCCACGGTTTTGCCCTACAACTTACCTTATCTCCGAAACGAACGAACACGCATAGCTACACAGCCATGTACAGTCGTTTCCGCTGCAGACGCTGGGGCGTGGCTGGAGAGAAGGGAGCAGGTTTGGCGCGAATCCAGCCCGCTCTCCACTAAACGGACAGGCGACAAGACTAATGGAAATAGGCTGCCGCTGCGCCGAATCGAATCGCTGACACGCCCCAGCATCGGCTGCGACAACGAGTATACATATACCGATTGACAGACTTACAAACCATATACCAAGTTAGATTCACTAATGTAAGTAGAGAGATTGCAGTTTCCATCAGATAGAGAAAAGAATACAAGCGAAAAGAAGGGTGAGTTTTCCATGATTTGGTAAGTTTAACATCCTAATTAAACTGCTAACATAATATGCCGTCGAAGAATGAAAAACTCACCTCGCCGTTTCATCATTCGAAGATCCCCAAAATACAAGAATACGGCTGATTTCGAGAAAGCAACAGCATCGGTACTGGACGGGAATGATGTTCCCAAGCACAGCTGGCCATTATCTCTCTGCAATGGAACGGCAATCGTTGAGAGTTGTTAATGCTGACGAGTAGTAAACTTGCACCTGAATTTAAGGCACAGTCCACGTTGATCGTGTGGACGGAGACAGCTAGCTCAACCCTTGTGCCTTCTTCATTGATGCTACAGTGTTTCCTCGCTAACTCGTTAAGGTCCTACAACGAGATTAAAGTCATTATCACTGAATAGTCGAGGCGTGTCAAGTGGCGTGGTTACAGGAGCCAATGCAGAACGCCTTCTCCATCGGATGCAAATATTGCGGCTTCAGCGGTTCAGCGAATGGTGGTAAAGGATGCTGGCGCCTACGCACAGATCGTACGGTTGCTGGTTTAATCCCGCCACCCAGTCTGGATACCGCTAATTGGTGGATAACGACGCCATTTTGCCTGTATGCATGACAGCGTGGACGTTACTTCCCTTCCCCAGTATATGGCTGTAGCTCCAGTTTGGAGTCAGCATGCATTTCTGGGATTTAATAAAGCGTGCAGTAGGAAACCAGTCAGCGAGGGCAGCCAAGGCAGTCGGAGGTGCCCCTCCTGTTATCTCCTGATTGATCGCGATGTTACCAATTATAAAATACTGCGTTGTTACGCCACGAATGTTTGCCAGCAAAAAAAAGCGCGAATACAATAGTCCAGATCTAACATTGAGCTCTTTCAGTTTCGAATATCACATGCTTAATATTCCAATCGAAAAAGGGAAAAAGTTTGGGTTAAATGTGGTGGATAGTGACAACCATGTATATGTAACTCATATAGACGAAGGTATTCTAGTCTGACTGGCTCATCTTGACCATGAGTATGCTCGAAATGCGGGCGATTGCAGGTTCTATGTGTACTAGTTATTTGAGAAAGTTTGACAGAATCTGTGATGTGGACGGAACGCGTGTCACCGATAAAGAACTAACAAAACGACAAATTATCAAAGGATTAAAGGTATCTTCTATGAGATCAGAACTAGAGCATTAGGCGGCGTTCACATTTTGCGGCAGCGTTAGCGAGTAGGAAAGTGTAGATATCGATCTAGCGAACGGCGGCGTCTACCAGCGTCTACTAGCCTCCACGAACGTTCACTAGCGCCCGCCAGCGATCATGAGCATCTAGAGCGACAGGAAAGTATGAATATGGGTCCGGTATCTACCTGTGCAAACCAGTGACTAGGAATAGAGAGTAGTGGGAGTTCGTAGGGTGCAGGCTGCTGGTGTAGTATGGGGAACTACAGTCGTCATCCTTGCACTTGATAGGGGCGTGTCGGCGAGAAGGAGCGTGCACACTGTTTGAAGCCTTCTCAGCCTTTTCGTTGAAACGCGTATGCGACAAAAAGTGATAGAAAACGAGTAACACGAAGGATATAATACAGTAATGTCACTTCCTGGTTCAACGATTGGTGCAGTACGGGTGCGGGCGACCGCGCCGCACGCAGCCGCACTGACATTGACTATCAAGTGCAAGGATGACGACTGTACAAGGGAGGAGACGGCTGGATTAGGCGTAGCGAAATTAAAGACAGTTCCTGCGATAAAAGTGTCATGGATAGTTGATGTTCAATTATGAAACAGTAGCTGATAAGTGAATCCCAAAGAAAAGAAAAAAGCAAGAAGAGTCCTCAAGAGTACACCATAAACAAAATCGCGCCCTGACAGTCACACCTCCCTGCGGTCTCTGTGCAAGCCCTGGCTCACAAATCACTTTGTCACATCTCCCAGTAGTGGATATCATCGAATGCGAAGAAAAGAAAACAAAAAACAACAGAAAATAGAGGAAAAACTCTTGAAAAGAAAAGGAAACATTTAAAAAGCCGGCGTCCGAATTTAGGGTTACGGTAGCGTGCATGTTTTAGTGTAGTGAAGTGCGTCGAGCTTTTGCACCACGAAAATTGGGTCGCTCGTGATTTTTACGCGTTTTATCTTGCGAGATGTGTTGGAGTTGACTGTATGTGCTCCTGATTAATAAAATGTAATAAAGGAGAGCAGAATCATTCATGGGCACGAGCGCGGTCAGCAAAAAGGACATGCATTCCGATTAATGCCCGCCGCCCCAACAAAGAACAACTGAGCGGCCCTCCGTCAGAGGGCATCTAGCAAGTGGGCGGTCCAACTGAGCGGGCGTTAGAACTAGAACTTTCAGCGGCTGTAGCTCACTGCACTCGCTGTGTAACCTCGTCATTTTATTCATCACCAGTGATGCACACTCCTTCGTCTGTGGACTCTCTCACCGCTTCGTTGGATGTAGTGGAGTTCAAGTACGAGTGGCAAGGTGCTAACCATAAGTATCCCAGCAGTAGAGACATTTAATAACGTCGAAAAGGCTAGAAATCAGACCGCTGTTGGTCGCAACCATCATGTGAGCATGCGTGGAAGACAGACGGAGCCTAGAAAGGAGAAACAGACGATTATATAGCGAGAGAGAGAGCATACGAATGATCCATACAACCGCAATTTAGCAATGGAACGAATCGAATAGGGAGGAGGGTGCTAATGGGCGTGAGGACTACTCATCGCGGCAGGAGCCTGATATTCTTTTCAACCACTTCCGAGTTGCAATGAGAACATGCTTTTGGTCACCACCTTGTGCAAGGAAAAACTTGCACAAGATGGCGCGGGCGCTACAGCTTTTGAGAGAAGTGAAAATTGAGGCTCACCTACCTGCAGGTCCAACTGTGACCGGCCACCACAACAATAGTGCATCAGTCTTGCTCAGATGAATGCAATCTTCACTGTGTGATGCAGCGGCGGTGCCTGCAAATTTGCTTGCAAGCATAATAAAGGAAAGTGGGATTAGAACAATTTCGCGACACTAATTGTTTCTGTGAAAGTAGAACTTATAATCCTCCTCGAAAACGTCCTCAGTTCTGACCATGATAACCCTTATTTTAGTTTCTCGTTAAAGATTCTGGCAACATAGTTCCGAGAAACATTTAGGAAAATCACAGGGCAACTATAGTGGTTGAACGGCCAGCTAACGAAGAAAGGACCGCACAAGTAAAGGTGAGTTGACTCTGTATTATACACTCTCTGGCGCAGTTCAGTTTGGTGGGGGCATTTTACTGATTGACATCGACCACTGCCAATGGCTCCTTTGGAGACGTGTTAATTCCTGTAAAGTTATTCAATGGCGTGAATTTGCTTTATACTTGACAAGATTCTACATGTTTTACGAAGGTGAACATGTAATTTAACAGAACCTAGCAAAAGAAAGTAGCGAAAGGAAAGGGCAAACCGCCCCCACTAGGCTAAGGGCCGTAGGAAAATGGGACGATTGACCTCGTTGATGACTTGTCGCACCTAGGATTCGAGGCATAATTAACGAGGTGCGAAGCGGACCTCATTAAGCCGAGGCAGGTCAGCCGAGGCACGCACGAGCTACCAAGATCGGAACAAATTGAGTGAAAACCCTTAACAGATTAAAAAAATAGCCCCTTGCTATTGGAGAGTACTGGCACATGAACTGCACCTTGAAAGCAGTGTCAGTGACAGGGTTAAGCATCACGTCTAGTCGAGTCCCATGACGCCCCCATCCCCCGCCCAGGGGGGAGGCCGGACAGGGGCTATACGACTCCCTCCAGCGATTGTCGGGGTAACTGACTTCTTTTTGGGAACGCAACATGTTTTATGAAAATGGGGCGCCAAATGGTCCGCTAGGTTTCCATTGAGCTCTCTTTTTGAAAATGCGAAAAGCCAAAAAGATGAATAGGGAAAATGGGATACGCTTTCAGAAATACCGTATAGAGAAAACTTGCACGGATTGGAAAGCAGAAGCTTTTCTCTCTTCAAAAAGCATGACACTCAGTCCGTTACATCGAAAATCCGCCCATCGCGGTATTAGGTCCAAAAGTTTGCTTCGGCTTCAACAAGAGGATCCCTTTATAACACTGCACACATTCCCATCAAGAAACCCCTCTTTTTAACTGAGCATTGATAGAAGCTGAAGCACTGGTCCACCCCGTTACGGAATAGACCCCGTTTTCGATATCCATTCAGAATCGTAGTGGGTCTATGAGAATATGGACTTATGAAGCAATCCTCTAAGCCAGCTGCTGGCTTGCTTGATTGTTTTAGACAAGCAGAACTTGTAGCTATGCCGTAGATGCATCTAAAATGAATTAATTTGTCGTGAATTCCTTCGTGACGATTACTGCGAGGATACCGCACTCTTTGACGAGGCTCAGAAGCAGCGGTAATGTCTCCATTCCCACACACGTTCTCACTGCTCCGTTCGTTAGCGGCGTCTACACAAACGACTCGTCCCAGTAGATCCTATAAGTCCCACAACGTGAATTCCGGGACACATGCTTGTCCCTGAAATGGAAAGCGATTTGGAAGCGGAGGTTTGAAGAGCGAGAGTAGGTTCCTAGAAAGGTCTTGACCGTGCATTCCGTAATCCCGTTACAGGCAAACAGGCAAACCGACTAAGGCTAGAAAGTTGGGAGTCGGGTGAGAGGATATGGGTAGAAGTCATCGTCACCATAATCCATTCTCTTTCAAGTTTTCGCGGAGTTTCCAGCACGGAAGTGTCCACTAAATTATAATATGTTCAACCAGAAGGTGCTTATATTTGTTTAGCGAATGCTGGAATCAATCGAGAACAAACCGCCATCAGTTGTCCTTGAAGCGGATGTAAAAGATATCTTGAATCGATACAGTTCAAAGCTCAAAACCAATAGCTCACTGAAGCCGGTCAGTACTTATAAAAGAACAGGCCCATACTACAACTGTATAGTTATGAATAGTGTCAAAAACTTCGGTGGAAGGAAGCCCTGAGGGAATTCGTATTACGGGACTGATCAAGCCATCAAGCACTGGTTCTTCTTGAAGTCTACGGTTGATTTCTGTTAAAGGCACATTCCGCGATAATCTAGTGGGCGGAGACTCATAACAACTCTCATTGATGTACCTGATCTTGTGACAAGCTTAAAGCGAAAAGGCGCTCCAACGAGGAAGGTACATGCTTCCGAGTCTTCGCCCATTACATTATCGCGGAATATGTCTCTAAGATAACGCAGCCTAGGCTTTGATTCTTCCCATTTGGATGAAGAAAAGGGCATCCACTCTCTCATTTACAGAGGTGTGCTCTTTCAAAGTCAAATCGGACAAAGGTTCGCCATAAAGTTCATCTGAATGACAAACAGATGGAGACCGTCAACATTGGAATGGATAACGAACATCTGCAAGAAGATCTGATAGTAAGTAACAGTTAGAAACATACAAAGGTGTGACTCGAACTTTATAAAGCCCTGCATGTATATTTTTCAGAAAGTTCCTGAGAAGACATACGAGACGTCATTGGCGAATCTCCAAAAGCAGCCTCAAGGAGCAGACTGATGGTGGTTGCTTTCATAACGAAATCCTTTGTCATGAAATGCTCAAATGCACACTATGAACATGAAACAACTGAGAACTGCATAAACATCAACAGCTTTGTCATTGTGTGGTCATTTTTGTCGCCTTCTTCTAACCCAAATGTCAGATTCAACTACCGTGGTCAAGAACTGCTAAAAGCGAATCACGAGCGTGATGCCCAAAGAGCTATCAGTGTGAGAATGAGAAAAGCTACTGATTTCAGATTCCAACCCGAGCAAAACGGGTGGGTGTCAGGACTCACCGCCGCGCCCGAAACTAGGTCGCCGCGCTGGGAAGTGGGTCACCGCGCGCGGCGATTACATGCTTTAACATGTTTGCATGTTTGAACATGTCTACCTGTTTGGACATGTTCTTGGCAGATGGAAGATGAGGAAAAGAGAGAACGCTCCAAGCAAACTGCGATAGGGTCATATTGATCGGAAGTTGGCAAAATGCCAGGTCAGGACTCACCGCCGCGCCACGCGATGGCCCGCGCGCGCTCGTTCCGTCGTCGGTACCAGTTCCGAAGCGCGCGGTGCTCCTGCCCATCTCCCGACAAACTGCTCCGCCTAAAAAATAAATGACTCTCATGCAAGGCAATACTCCTTGCGATACGTCAACGCTTGTTTCCTGGACTAAAAAATAATATAGAAGCAGCAGACTCAAAGAAGCAAGAGAAGTCAAGGTAAATCTCGACAACGCCCGGACCAGGATACGATATGCATGCACCGATTGCCTTGAGCAGCCGGTGCGGCGCTATTCGCAACCAAACGTGCACAATTCATACTGCCCTAAACCTTGTCCAGCATCCGACCCAAACGCCCACTAGCATACCGCCCGCCCACCCAACGGCCCGAAAAGTCACATGACGCTAATGCTTACTAATGCTTCTCCATCGTGAAGTAAAATCGATAACAAGTGTTGCCAGATAAATATAGATACCTATCAGAGCGGTTGTTGGCTCGATGCCAGGAGGGAACTCGTCCAAAAATGCTCATTTATTTAATTATTTATTTACAACGCATCCATGGTACGCGCTACAGCAACAGCAGTTAACTTCACAGCAAAGGTATAAGTAATAGAAGTAAGCGACGAAAGAAGAGTTCAATGCAGTTGCTGAAAATGATCAAAAGAAGAAGAAAGGGAGAGGGGATGTGGTTTGGCAGTCATGCAGATTTGAACCCCGGTTTGTACTAGACCATGGAATGCATTCACAATATTGCAAGGAGCACAAAGTCAGAACCGAAAGTGTTAGGAGCCATTTATTGCACTCGCTTGCATCAGCCAGCTGTGATGCCCAATTGCCATGTTATTTATTTATTTATTTATTTATTTACTCATCCACTGTCGTAAGAAACGAAGGTTTCTTCCGCAGGTTTTCGACGCTTAAAACTCAATTTTCAGTTCCTATAGGGTATTGCTTTAGCCGTAACCAAGATGGTATAAAAGTTTTATTGGCTAACGTTTCGGCGCCTTATCGCCTTCGTCAGAGCCTGGAAAAAGTCAAAAATCAAAGTGAAACTACCCTCGGAAATCATTTCAAACCTCAGATAAGCTAGTCCCAGACCAGTAGGATCCAGAAAGTCATAGAACACAACCACAAACGACTCACCTTTAATGCACGACCGGTTCTTGTTTGAGACCACCGCTAAATAGACTCCCCGTCGGTGGCTTCAGCTGACCTGACCGCTCTACTTGATGCCGATGGCAACTGAAGCCCACACAGGTCAGCAAACGGGGCGAGCTCGTTTGTGATGGTCAGGCATTCGTCCTTTCTATTCATTCTGGGATTTTTAGCGCTAATCCAAAACGCTTCCAAGTCTGTGGTTCTCGCATCAAAATCCTAACCGTCACCTCAAACTCCGCGCCTCCATGGCGCTGAACCCGATGACTACCCAGGGGGACTCTTG